TCAGGGCTCTTGGGGACCTAGAACGAAGTATATATTCATTCATTCATTCATTCAACAAATATTACGAGGCCTGTCCTGAGCCAGGCACAGTGGTAGGTGTTAGGGAGACAGCAGTGAACAGCAGAGACACGGGCCTGTCCTTGGGGTGCTTATGGTGTGGGGGAGCAGACATTAAACAGAACACAGCAAGAGGGGTCAGAAGACACCCGGGGAGGGGAGGGCACATGGGGCGCAGGGCCTTGGCGGTCAGGGTAAGAACTCTGCATTGTATCTCAAGAGCACCAGGAGGGACGGTGCATAATCCCGTTTCTGTTTGGAAATGCTCTCTCTGGCTGCCGAGGGAGGGAGAGCAGATAGAGGGCCCGGGCGGAGGGGAGAGAGGAGCTGGCCCCAGGGGTGGGGGCATCCTGTGGTATCCTTTTGCACCTCATATCCCTTTGCACCTCTTCTCCAGGGGTCTTTCTCCAGCTCTGACTCCAACCTCCAGCCGCCCGAGAGTATCGTGCTGCAGGCACGGGGGCTCTGCAGGAATGAGGAATGCCCACCAGGGGAGACCGTTGACACACCAGGTGCTTATGAATATTCTTTCTCTGCCTTGGGAGATTGCCCAGAGCAAGAGTGTGTGTGGGAAAAGGACCCAAGAGCCCCGGGCAGCGGTCCAGAGGTACAGGTCTACTCTCAGCCCCAGATAGGTCACTTACCTCCCTGTGCCTTAGTTTCCCCACCTGCTATCTATGGGACTAGCCCGGAGTCTGGGCTAAATTCAAGTCCAGGCAGCATTTCATCACGAAAGGAGCCAGGGCTGTGGGGTCAGATGGGCTTGAGCTGGAACCCCAGCTCTGCCACAGATGAGGCCGTGTGGCCTGACGCAGGCTGCTTTGCTTCTGGGAGCCTGCTGCTGGCTGGGGGCCCACACTTGGAGAAGCACTACCCCAGAATAACACCCCTGGGGGAGCACGGCCTCTGCTTTGCTCAGTGCTGTGCCCTGAGCAGTGCTGGACCATAGCAAATCCTTGGTGAGTGCCTGTGGATGAACGGACTCTGAGTGGTTTGTCTGAAAGGGGCAGAAGTGGGTGGAGGGTTGGTGTGGGCCTGGGGAGGGTGGCAGGAGGTGGTCAGGGACCAAATCACGAAGAGCCTCTAGTGCCAGGCTAAGGAGCTGGGACTTGTGTAGCTTAACATGGCCTCCAGAGATGTCCACACCCCCTCGCTGGAACCTGAGAATGTGACCTTACATGGCAAAAAGGACTATTTAGATGTGATTAAGTTAAGGAATTTGGGATGGGGAGGTTATCCTGGATTATCCTGGTGGGCTTTAAATGTAATCACAAGTGCCCTTATAAGAGGGAGGCAGAGGGAGATTTGGCTACAGTAGAGGAGAAGATGTGACCATAGAGGCAAGAGGTTGGAGTGATGTGAGAAAGGGGCCATGAGCCAAGGAGTATGGGTGGCCCCCAGAAGCTGGAAAAGACAAGGAAACGATTCTCCTTTGAAGCCCCTAGAAGGAACCAGCCCTGCCACCACCTTGATCTCAGACTCCTGACCTCCAGAACTGTAAGAGAATACGCTTGTGTTGTTTTCAGCCACTAAGTTCGTGGTCATTTGTTACAGCAGCCCTGGGAAACTAACACAGGCCTACATCCATGAGAAGCAGCAGAGGTTACTGAGCAGGGTGGTGGAGCAGATGGGGTGTCCAGGGGAGAGGTGATGAGGGGCAGGGTGAGGGCAGCCAGTCGGGGTCGGGAAGGGGCAGATGGAGCATGCTGCTGGGGAGGTGGCTGCTGGTTGGTGGCAGGGAAGGGAGGACTGGCCAGCTCAGCTCTCTCTCTCCTGGATTGCCCCATCGGCTGACTGTAGCCCCCCACGCCCCACCAAGGGCTGGCCCAGATCAGTCCCTTGGAATTCTCAGGTCAGGCAGACACCCCTGCCCCCTTGGCAATGATAAGGGCTCTCAATCAGGTCAACACTGCATTTTGTCCCCACACAGAGAGCAGGAAGGACATGCTATCGGTCATCAGGGAAGCTGGGAGCTGACCTTATGGAGGGCCACACGAGGCTCCGATCGCCCTGGCAGCCTCAGCAGGAAAATCACCCTCTGGCTGTTCTTGGTCTTCAGCACCCCCATGTCCCCACCACAGTCTGAAGCCATCTGACTGGTTCCCCATCCTCCTCTGCCCTCTGCCCATGCCCCCGGGGGCTGGAGGACAGAGCACGGCCATGGACGTGAGGAACATGTGCTCCGGGGCTGCTGTGTGTGACCCAGGCAGGCCTGGCCTCTCAGCTGGGCTCGGCCTCTCCATAGCCCCCCACCCAGGGTGGCGGTGAGGATCAGAAGAGAAGGTGGGCACTCATACCCCCCAATGTGCCAGGCGCCCAGATGACATCAGTAAGGGGGGCTGCTGTTTCTGCGGATGCTCAGATCTTAGCTTTGGCTGACTCACCAGCTTGTGTCACTCGGGCGATTTACTTAACTTCTCTGAGCCTCAGTGTTTCCATAGCTCAAGTGGAAACCAAACCACCACGTACTTCACAGGGTCGTGTGGAGAACGAGATGAGGCCACGAGTAGGGAGGGTCTAGCACCACCCAGGATGAAAGGATCTTTCCTGTCTGCATTTAAGGCTCAGCTCACAGGTCTGCTCCCAGGGTGTGCTCCCTGGGCCGTGCTCGCCTCATGCGGGTGCCCTGGGTTTCAATCTTTGTCACATGCTGCACTGAACTGTTGCAGTCTGCTCCTCAGCTAGATGGTGAGCAATTACAGGTGGCAGCGGGCAGGGGGCTTGCTTCATCTCCCTTTGCACCCTTAGCACCTGGCACAGGGGTGGGGATAGGATGCCCTTGCAGAGGATTAATACAGAGAAACAATGGCGAACATGTAAAACTGGCACCTAGTGTGTGCTCTGTAAGTGTTAGCTATCGTTGTTAGTGTTAACTCAATATGCTTTCCCAAGAGTTAGGGGTAAAAGCAGCCCATTAACCCAGGGGTCGCACAGGTAGGAAGCAGTACGCATGGCTAGACTGAACCGTGTCAACTGTCTTCTGTCCAGTCCACACCCCATGCTTTGTTCTTTGTTTGCTTTGTGAACTAAATTAGCTTTGCACTCGAGGCTGCTGCCTGAAAGAGGGAGTGTGGAAGGACGTGGTCAGATGGGCCTCTTATCCATCAGGGCCAGATGTGGAAGTCTCTAGATCTGCATTTTGGAGAGACACCTCTGGGTGGCTTGGAGGATGGTTTTGAGAGGGAGAGTCTAGAGGCAGGGAGGCCAGGAGGAAGCTGGACGCAGGAGCATTGAGGCTTGTTCCAGAAGGATAGCAGTGGAGTGGTGGAGAGCCTGGGGCCCAAGTCTATGGGGGACACTCCACACCTGGCACTGCAAGGACCAGAGGGGACATGAAGCCCAGGGGTCTAGTTAGACAGCTTTGCCTCCACAGTGCTCCACAACGGCCAAAACCCAGAGTGTGTGGGTCTGCAGTGTCTGTCCAAGCTTTTCTCGAGGCTGATGCTCAATGCTCGAGAGTGGACGAGTATCCCATCGGGGGTCACAGAGCCTGTTCGCATCCCTTGGCTCACATGTGCTTCAGGCAACTCTAGGAGGTGAGCAGGGCAGGCTGCATGAGGACAGACCCCACGCTCTATGAGGTGAGGAAACCGAGGCCCGAGAGGGGCAGGGACTTGCTCAAGCCACAGAGTGAGTGAGGGCAGAGCTGAGACAGGGGCTATGCAGTCGACTTTCCATACCAGTTCACCACAACAAAGGCCAAAAATGCATTTCTACATCCCTAGTGCTCAGCACAATTCCCAGCATGTGGTGGGAGGTTGATGAACGTTTGCAAATGAATGAATGAATGAATGAATGAATGGGTCAGTCACATAGACCAGCATTGTGGGAGGCCAAGGCACAGTTTATGGGAAGAGAAAGGGGACTGGCATTTACTGAGCCCTTCTACGTGCAGCTGTTCTACCTACTCCTTTCATTCACTCCTCGACAGCTCGCGCTCATGAGGCTGTGACTTCCTCTCCGTGCAGTGAGCTTCCTCAGCGCCACTCCAGTCTGGTGCAGTTTCCTGTAACACCCTGCACCGGAGCCAGCCGTCACCAGTGAGTTTAGCTAAACCTCATCCCGGTCCTGTTTATCTTGTCAGCCTGGACACCTCTTGGGGGTGGAATGCCGGGGCATGTTCCCTCTTGCATCTCCTGCATCCTGAACACCCAGTGGTCTCCACACCTAGTTTTTATGCCACCTCAGTTTTGCTCTATTCTCTTCCCTTCTCTCATGGATCAGGGCCACATCCTCCTTCACTGATGTCCTCGTCCCATGCTTCTGGTTCACGTCTTAGGAGTGACCCAGAGCCCTCTTCCCAAAGCACAGATCTGCCTGGGTTATCCTCACCCCTGCTTCTAATCCTTCCATCCTCCCCTAAGACCTCCAGGATAATGTCCAAGCCCTCAGCCTGGCCTTCAAGACCCTGCCTTCCCCACTCTGCCAGTCCTCTTTCTCGAGTCCTCTTTCTCCTCCAACTTGAGTGCCCCCCGGGAAGGAGCTGATGCATAGTAGGCGCTCAAGGAGTGCAGACCGAGCTGGTTTCCATTAACCCCCAGGTGGCAGCTTTAGTGCATGGCCATCTGAGGGCTGTCTTGGATGGTTCAGGTGAACACTTATGACCACTAAGTGGTTGAGCTGGGCCTTAAACTTAGGACTCTTGATGGTAAGGACAACACAGCTGGAAAAAAGGGCCCACGAGCTCTGGAGTTGGGGGACCTCTGTCCAGGTGCCAGCCCTGTGGCCCTGGCCAAGTTCTCTGAGATTTAATATGGTCCTTTTAAAATGCAGGTGAAAAGTTCTACCTCAGGGGGCCGTTGAGAAGATGCCACAACGTGAGGTTTGCCAAGTGCTCATGAAGAGCACCAGCACCTTGTGAGCAGCTGCCACCTTAATAGTTACCGTTAGTGGGACCCCCTCCCCGTGCCCCTGACCTGCATGCACACGGCCAGGGCAGTTACCTGTCTGTGGCTCCCCGGGGGGCCGTGACCTCTGTCCCACTCCACACCTGGAGCTTCAGGGCCTTCTCTTCCTGCTGCCTGGGTTCTGGGCTTTGGTTCCTGGAGAGCTGGGAGCTGTTGGACCTCAGAGAAATTTTACGGGCATTGCGGCGGGCCAGCCTGCAGTGGAAGACCTGCTGGTATGCCATGCGGAAGTCTCTGTTCAGTGCAGCGTACAGGATGGGGTTCAGGGCCGAGTTGGCGTAGCCCAGCCACAGAACGATGGCTTCAAACACCTCATTGACGGCATCATCCCCTCTCAGCCCGCGGTAGACAAACACGGTGAAGTAGGGAAACCAGCAGATGATGAAGGCTCCCATCACAGCGGCCAGCGTCACCGTGGCTTTGTGCTCCTTGATGGTGGCTGCCCTCCAGGAGCTGACTTGATGGATCCTCCGGGCCTGATCCCGGGCGATCTTGAAGATGCGGTAGTAGGTGACACACATGACCAGCAGGGGCAGGTAGAAGGTGACCAGCCCGTCCACCAAGCCGTATACCAAGTTGACCTGGACTTTGCACTTCAAGGCAGTGTGATTGACCTTGCTGATGTCGCTCATGCTGGTCTCATTCCTGCTGTTCCACCCCAGGTGGATAGACAGGAAGGACAGGGTGATGGAGATAACCCAAATTAAGACCAGGGAGATGGTGACCCGGGCAGGGGTGACTAGCACGGGGTAGCGCAGGGGGTCTGTGACAGCGCAGTATCGGTCAAGGCTGATCATGAAGAGGTTGAGGATGGAGGCCGTGCAGAGCATCACATCGAGGCTGGTATAGATATCGCAGAAGACCTCGCCAAAGCTCCACGTGTTGTACAGCTGGTAGAAGGCCGAGAAGGGCAGCACCAGGAGGCCGAGGAGCAGGTCAGTGATGGCCAAGGACACAATGAAGCAGTTGGTCAGACTGCGGAGCCGGCGGTTCAAGCCCACAGCCAGGCAGACCACCACATTGCCAGCAATGGTGATGAGGATGAGGACAACGAGGATCATGCCGACAGTGATCTTACACGCGGCAGAGTCCAGACAACAAGAAGAGGCTGTGCCATTGGGCTCCATCCTGGGACCCTATGGCTCCTTCCTCTGCCCACGGCCCCTGGCTGCTTCTCGTCCAGCTCCCCAATGCATCAGTTACTTCAACCACTGGGCTCTGGGCTGCACAACAGAGCCAAGAGAGTGTCCAGATGTGGGGAGGCTACAATGACCTAGTGCTGTTTTTCCAGAAATAAATAAAGCAGTCTCCTAGAAAGTATTGGGCAGGAGTATGAATGAAGAAGAGGGAAAGAAGACAGAAATTCGTGGTTCAAACTCCAGTCCTCAAATTGCCCCCTGCAGAGCTGGTTTCCTCCTGGGCCTGGAGCAGGCCTCCACTCTCCAGGTTTTGCATAGAGACTGAGGCACTGGGGCATGTGTCCAGAGGTGGCTTTGGCTTTATGCGGGAAGGATCATGTGGCGATGTGGCCATATCCTTCTCCGTAGCTGGCAGTTGCTCCCATCCATGTGACAGGGGTCAAGGACTACTGTGTCTCCCTCTCAGGACCACTGGAGAGCAGGAGCTGAAAATGCAAAGGTCAAGTGTAGAGCACTTTGAAACCAGAGGAAAAGTCTGACCTGATTCAAGATCGGTCCTTCTAGACCTTGACCTCCCTGTGAGACACCAGGGGACATGGGGTCAGTCTGGGTACCTCTACCTAGGAGATACTGAGGCAATCAGGATACATAGTGGGATGAGGAAGGGAGGCAGGATGCAAGGGGCTGGACCACCATGTCACCATGCAAGATATGGATGGAGAGGTTAGGACTGTTTATACTGGAGCAAGAAAGATCTAGACACAGATTCCTAGCTCTGTGAGAACAGAGGCAGCATCTGCCTGCTCACTGCTGGTTCCCAGTGCCTGGCCCCATAGGAAAGCATTAAGCATCTGATGAATACATGATAAAATGAATGAATAAATAAGCAAATGTAATGAATTTTCTCTTAGAAACTGCTGAGAACAGCGTCTGACACTGTTGTTTTACAAAATGTCATTATACTCTAAACCAGGAGCTGACAAACTTTTTCAGGAAAAGGCCAGGTAGTAGATGCTTTCTGCTTTACATCCCGCATGATCTCTGTTGCAACTGCTCAACTCTGTTCTTGCAGGAAAGCACCTCCACAGACAGTGTGCAAATCAATGAGTGTGCTCCGATGAGATTTACTTATGGACATGGAAATTTGAATTTCACATAATTTTCGCCTGTTGCAAAATATTCTTCTTCTTTTGATTTTCTCCCACTCTTTAAAACTATTTCCAAACTATCAAAAAATGCAAAAGCCATTCTTAGCTCATGGGCTGCACAAAACCAGGTAGAGGGCCAGATTTAGCCTGCTGTCATAGCTTGCCAACCGCATCCCTGCCCCAAGCCTGCTCTAAACATCTCTCTAAATCTTACTTTTCTTATTTAGCAGCACATGTGGTTCCGCATCCAGGTCAGCTGGTACAGAACTCACTCAATCTTTCTAACGGCTGCATAACAGCCCACGGGGTGGCTGGCCAAGGTTTATTCCATCATCCCCCTATCATGGGTATTTGGGTGGTGTCTAGTCCGTTCGTTTGTTCCTTCCTCCCTCCCTTCCTCCCTCCCTCCCCCTCTCCCTTCACCTCTTCCCTCCCTCCTGTCCCTCTGCAAAGATCACTTCAATAGAATGGCTGCACACACAATGCTTCTTGGTTAAATCTCAGATTCCCTCCTAGTGGAATCATAATATTCTAGGATTCCAATTGATGCAAAACAAGCTAAGGCCCTGCTGATTCCTGGGCCCTTTCATGCAAGCTGGTCCTGGTTTCCCAGAGAGCAGCCAGCAGGCAATCTCCTGGGATCTGGGAGTGTGCAGAAATCAAGGTGACAGCAGGAGCCCTCTCAGAAGCAAGTTAATCTCCATATGACATAAATTAAGCCTCTTCTAGCCTCTTGCCTGGAGCGGTTTTGCATCCTGAATGTGAGAAGCATCACTTAATCATAACCACTGTGCTGGTTCAGGGACCGCGGCTCCTGGTCACCTTCTGCTGCTCCAGCTGGCCCAGCCACCCTGCCCTGTGGGCTGGGCCTCTGCGTATTATTTTTAGAAGATCTTTTCATTACATAAATAGCCCAAACAGCATGGCTCTCACCACCACACTTAATTAACTTTGTAGGGGGTAGCAGCCAGGGTATCTTCTTTGAGGATCTCTATTTCTGATCAAAATTTTCTCTGAGTTTCCTTAATAGCCAGGTAAAGGCATTTTGACGTTGGACTGACGTTTTAGTTAATGTTTAGGTGTTTTCAAATCTGAATGAACCAGCCTCTCTTATAATTAGAAATTAATTCCTCCCTCCCTCCTTCTCTTCCTTCCTCCGTCCTTCCTGCCTTCTTTCTCGTCCCTCCGTCCTATGGAGCAAATATTTCTTTCAGAACTCACAGTGTGCCCAATGCTGCTCCAGGTGCTGAGGGCACAACCATGAACGGAACAGCAGTGGTTCCTTTTTTCACAGAGTTCCAAAGAAGAACCACTTCTGCTGTGTTTCTATGTTATAGCCCAGGTCCCAGAAGTTTCTGGACCTTTCGTGAAGACAGGGGCTGTCGCGTGGAGCTCAATCTATCCCGTACCCTGTGGGTAGAATGACTGCCCTAGGGGGCCGTGGCACCCCAAGATTATAGCCATCATTGTCACCATCGTTGTCATCACAGTTAACATAAAAAACACTTCCTTGAAATTTCCTTTCAAACTTCCGAAGCAATGACATGCTTATCGCACTAAACCAAGTATCCTGAGGTATACAGGAAGGGCCAACTATTTGGGCTGTCACATACCCAAGCCCTCACTCCCAGAAGGTGACTGTTGCTGACCGTTTGGAATGATGGGGCCTTCCATTCTTTCTCTGGGCCCCTAGGCGAACAGAGGCACACGCGGGACACTGTTTCATACACACTCCCCACGTTACTCAGCAACTCCCTTTCCTTAATTTCTCTTAAAATTCCCATTATATAATGGACGCCCCTCTAGGTCACTTACATCTAACCCATTCTTTTGGGAACCTAGGCTGTGGCAATACAACCACTATTGTGCAAAGATGTATGTCTGTGTCAGCAGGTTTGCAAGTAGCAACAAGTGAGAAACAACCTCAGTGTCCATCGGCAGGGGGATAGTTCACCAAATGATGGTGCATCCGTGCTGTAGGACAGTCCTGCGCACGGTGGCATCACGCACAGTGAATGAAGTGTCACTTCCTCCTCACCACACCCCGTGAGAGAGGGGAATCACGGCTCCACTGAACAGCTGAGGAGACTGAGGGTCAGGGAGGCAAAGTGACGTCACACCCGTGTAAATGGCCGGAGAGCCTGATTCACACGCAGCTCCCATTCCTTTAGCCTGCCTTCACGCCCATTCCTGGGTCAGACTTCAGCCCGGCATTCCAGCTGGATCTCACCAAACACCCCTGTATTTGTCCCCTAACTTCCCCATTCAGGTAGCCGCCCTCTCACTCCTGCCTTTGCCCCACTGTCTCCTTCACCGCAAGTCCCGCTCCCTGTGTTCACCGCAGCTGCTCTCCTTTCGGGGCCTGGCTCAAACACCACCGTCCCCTCAAGGCTCCCTGAGTGCCCGGAGGCAGGAGCTCCCTGCCCTGCACTTTGTACCCAGTTATACTGTTGGCACGGACAGCCTTGTGCTGTTAACATGGCTCCTGCATTGTCCCCCACAGGGCCTGGATCTTGCCCACCTCTCTCCACCTCCAATCTGCCCGTCCATCTGTCTGTCCTTCCATCCACCCATCCATCCATCCATCCAGCCAGCCAGCAGACATTTCCTGTTGTCTATACAAGGGAGAGATATGGGGCACAGGGAGCGTGTGTGTGCACACAGGCACGTGTGTGTGGTTTCCTCACCTTGGAAATCTGAGAGTGCTCACCTTGGGATTCAATGGGTCTTGTTAGTATGTCTGAATGGATATGTGAGAAAGGGCCTATTTTTCCCAACATTTTATAGTGAAATTTTTCAAACACACACAAAAAGTTGAAAAAACAGTACAATGTACATTAGATCTTATCCAACGGTCCATGCAGATTAAACAATTGTCTGTTCTACCTCTCATTCTCTCTCTCTCTCTGTCTGTGTGTGTGTGAAAATGATATGAAATTCATTAAAACAGGCTTCAGGCCCCCCCATCCTGCGGGCTGACCACAGACATGCAGCTGCAGATGTCACACTGCTTCCTCTTACATCTGCTCGTCTTTGCCTTCACGGCCTTTGAAAGGCACTTTCTGGAGAATCTTCTCACAGGTTGTGGGCCCCGACTCTCCCCTAGCAAGGCTTCTGACCTCTACTTACAGTCATCACTGAGCAAATGCAGCCGCAACAAAAAGCGGAGGCCAGCACGGAGCCTGCCTCACCACGCACCTCCCAGAGGCCATGCTAGCCAGCCAGCCCTCAAGAGCAGCCAGCGTGTTAAATGCACTTGATGAGGTTGTAGATGTGTGCTAAACCCACCATGCTGGGTTCTGTGCTAGCACGTGCTCGGGTCACTTCCCGTTACTGGCCTTGGTTGTCTCTAAGTCTAGATCCTTGGTGTGGCATTCCAGGTTCTTCGTGACCTGCTTCTGTCTGCCCTCTTTAGTCTCAGCTTCTGCCTGCCAAGTGTCCTTTAGCGTTCCAGGACAACACTTTGAGAAACACAGCTCTGGCGGCATTTAATTCCTCCTGGTTTTGAAAAGTGCCGGGCCCATTCTGACTCTGAGCCTTTGCACATGCTGTTCCCACTGCCTGGAATGCCTTTCTTCCCATCCATGCCTGGTGAGCCCTCACTCTTCCTTCAAACCCTGGCCTCCTCCATCACCTCCTCCAGGAAGTCTTCCAGAAATAGTTGCTCTATCCTCTCTCACTTCCTCCTCCCACTTATGCCCACCTGTTCCAGAGGCTTGTGCTTTCTCAGGGGCACAGGAAGGAGGGGTTCTTTAACCTCACTGGGTAGATTCTGAGTTTTCAAGGCCCCAGGAAAACTCTCCCCCTAGTAGGGTCCATGGTGATTCACTATCAAAATGT